ACATAGCAAGACCCTGTCTCTACAAAAAAAAATTAAAAATTAGCTAAATGTGGTGGTGTGTCCCTATAGTCTCAGCTACTTGGGAGGCTGAGGTGGGAGGATCATTTGAGCTCGAAAGGCGAAGGCTGAATGCCACTGCACTGTAGCCTGGGCAACACACTGAGACCCTCTCTCTTTTTTTTGAGACAGAGTCTCACTTTGTTACCAGGCTGGAGTGTAGTGGTGCAATCTCAGCTCACTGCAACCTCCACCTCCCAGATTCAAGCGATTCTCCTGCCTCAGCCTCCCGAGTAGTTGGTATTACATGCGCCCGCCACTACGCCGAGCTAATTGTTTGTAATTTTAGTAGAGACTGGGTTTCACCATGTTGACCAGGATGGTCTCGATCACTTGACCTTGTGATCCACCCACCTCGGCCTCCCAAAGTGCTGGGATTACAGGCTTGAGCCACCGCGCCCAGCTGGTTTCACCATGTTGACCAGGATGGTCTCGATCACTTGACCTTGTGATCCACCCGCCTCGGTCTCCCAAAGTGCTGGGATTATAGGCGTGAGCCACCGCGCCCGGCCTTATTTTAATTATTCTTAAAACAACTGTTTAAAATTTCTTTAAACTTGCTGTTTTGTTCCTATGTCTTTACATTGGTTGGTATTTCAGTAAGTTTTTTGTGTTCTCAAATTTTATCTGAATGGATAAACTATTAAAATAGAACATACACCCCAGTTCTCCATTTCATTTTTCTTTTAGGCATGAATCGTACAAAACTCAATATAGAGCGATGTTTGTGATGAATTGTTTTATTAACAAAGAGGAGGTTCTAAGATATAAAGCCTCAGAGAACAGGAAGAAAAGGCGGGGCCATAAGAAGATGAGGTCTAACCAGGAAGATGCTGCTGAGAAGGCAGAGACAGATGTGGAAGAAATCTATCACCCAGTCATGTGCACCGAATGTTCCACCGAAGTGGCAGTCTATGACAAGGATGAAGTCTTTCATTTTTTCAATGTTTTAGCAAGCCATTCCTAAATAGCGCAATTGGCATTTAATTACCCAATACCATATATAAGGCAAATTTGGACAGTTACTTTCCTCCTGCCTGTTCCTATCCTTAAGTGACGTTGAGGAAGCAGTGTTTTCTCTTTATAAAGGAGAATAGTTGTCAACCTTCATTCATCTCTCACCCTCTCCCTTTTTTTTTCTTTGATTTTCCCCCGTATGGATGGGACTGATATTCTCTTTTTGATGAACATTTGGAAACCATGAGGCTTTTTATTTATTAAAGCTCTTTAGAATTAAAATGTTCTGGAGTTATAAGCAATCTTTGTTTCTGTTATTTTTATTTTGGATATAGCTTTGATGTAATTAAACTGGAAGGTGTTTCCTGAATTGTCTGTATTGTTTTTGCTAAGGTGTATCTTTATTCACCCCCACCCCACATGACGGAATGACAATATTTAGTAATTGTTACAATTGCATGGAGTAGGTGGGCAGCCTTGGCTGGCACCTGTAGTCTCAGCACTTTGGGAGGTCATGGCGAGTGGATCACCTGAGTTCAGGAGTTCGAGACCAGCCTGGCCAACATGGTGAAACCCTGTCTCTACTAAAA